GGGGGGGGGGGGGGGGGGGGGGGGTCTATGACACGACATCCGTCACTGATTCTGTATCACTCTATGGCCATACAGGTGTCGAATCCACCTTCTTTTTCTTTCTGCTTCTCATGACGTTGATAGTAGGATACAGCATGCACAGCGCGGCCGGCGAGGGCGGCCGGCGCAACCGTGTACCGTTAGCAGCGCTCGCTGTTTGGTATCTCGTGGTGGGAGAAGGTCCGGTGGCGTCGCAATGCACACGGATGCGTCGGTCACGCTAGGTTGATGGAATATGTGGGTGCACCGCCATAGGTTGTACTGTAGGCGATATCAGATACAAACTAACGTTTTAACAACGACATAATCGCAAGCAACGGAGTATGATATCCTATGTAGTCTTTGGCTCCTCGATCTGAACGTGCGTAGGATGGTGGTCATTTGGCGTCTTCGGAGTGGAAGAAAAAATTCCCGCTCGCATGCTGTGGCTTTTAGGGGAACCGTGCACCTTGTGTCATGTAGGAAAAGTACAAGACATTCAATCTTGACATACGCCGGTCATGCGTGGTGTGTATACTCTCGGAGCTCTTCCCACGAAAGATAAGGCAATCCCAAATAACCGTCAGAGAAAATATCCAATATCCGCGATGGGGCACAAGCTGATCTCCGTGCGGGTAAATGTCTTGGATCCTTTCGGTACCGTGCGCAGACAAGATAGCGAAGGACATCCGGGGTTGCTGTTACCCATAGAGGCCGCTCAGCTATTAGTGGTAAGCCACGCAAGTACGATGCAGAAAAAAAGAGTTGGGTTGCACTTCATCATCTGCGCGACGACTTCTCTACCACAAGGATCGTCAGGGGTGCGAGACCATGTACTCTAGTTTCGGTCAAGTTTTCGTGTTTTTGATGAGATCTCGAGTATGAAGGATATGACACCGAGGATGAACCAAACCACAAAGGACACATGTTGACCATCCATAAAACATGTGTCGATAGCTGCACGTGTGAGCGTTGGACAACCTAAACCACCCCCCAGGAATTGCACACCCGCATCGTTCTAGAACAGCAACGGGGTGCTACTGGTACGCCGTTGTATGGATGCGCAACGGATACTGAAGGCCTTGGTACAGCAGTAGCTTTGTTGTTTCTATTAGAAACGAACCCCCCACAACCCGAAATCTAAGAGGCGAATCGAAGACAGACAACGACGGCCGTGTATGATTGACCGCGTGCTGTCCTCTATTGCCGTAGTGTTCGCTGGTGGGCATGGGAGCTCTCTTCTGGCAGACACCATGGGTATCCCCAAGGACCTGTGCCGCTGATGGATCATCCCGTTTGTTGCCACATGCCCTTCGAGTTGAAAATCGCCTACTGCTGTCCACACAAACAGGAAACACAACACGATCGACTGCTGACCGCCTTCCTATCCGAGAGCCATCCCCACCTCCTGGAGGTCGTCTCCGAGCCACTGGACAGCGATCTCGCAGCGGTATTAGCCATCCCATTCACTGCGTCACTCCCGCTCCATGTTCCGGTCCCAGCTAGGCCACTCAATCCCCTGTTGGGACTGCTGCCACTGCCGAACACATAGCGACTGCCGCTACCGTTGCTCTTTGAAGCAGGGCCGATGGCGCCAAAGCAGAGATTTCTCCGCTGCACAGAGGCATTGCTCGCGGTGTTAGTGTTTTCGTCTGCGGCGCCTGCTGCTGCGTTGTTGTTGTTGTTGCTGCTGCGGGTGGACAGCGAACGAAGGAGGTGGGAAGCCTGGTCCGTGCCAGACTTGGTACCCAAAGCGTGCAATCTTCGGAGCATCGCCATGAGCACTGGGAGCGTTGCCTTGCCCCGAACTTTATTCACGTAGGGACGACGCGTTTCTCTCTCTCGTTGTCTTCCCCCAGAGGCTGTCGTTGTGCTTGCTTCTGCGTGCCACGCACAGCACAGCCTCTCAGCGCATCTCCATCTGGGGTGACGTGTATCCTGGGGTACCCCTTTGATTCACGGAGCACCCAAATGTTGCCTGAAATGTTGTGTTGCGCCTGAGGCAGGAGGTCGAATCAGATACACGCGTCTTGTTCCCCCTCTCTCTACGTGCACTGCTTCCACGAGGGTGTTGGTTGCGACACGGTATGGCTTCCTTCGTCATGGGTGGTGGCGCGCAGTCGCCAATCGAGTGGGAGTGGATGGATGACCGGCGTAGGTAAGGGGAGAGCGAAGAGCGTTTTCCTTCACGCGAGCCCGAGCCGCAATCTGTTGTTTGCTCAGTTGATTTGACAATGTGGCTGATGGATGGGTGCAACGGGATGGCTTCGGCTCTGCGCCTCCGATCAATAACATTGGCACCGTAAGCAGGAGACTATTATCTACTTTCAGCATCTACACAGGCGGTATGTTTGATATTTGATATTTATATGCATGCAGCATGTTTTTTCTCCGCAAATTCGCTGGAGCAACTCGTTTCCTCCGCGCCCGCCGTTCGCTCTTACTGTTACGGCTGAACCAAGCTACCGTCTGTGCCGCTAGAGGTCTCACCGCCGCCCAAGTTCCCCTAGCACCCATCACGGGCGTTTGTTTCTACAAGCAGCCGCAGGACCTTTACTTTTTTTGGCACACACTTAGACAAAGCTCAGGTTGGTAGTTGGTAGCTTCAATTTTCAAGCGGACCGTTTCTTGGACCGGTACGGGCCGCTCCGCCGAACCGGTTGGGGCTTGTGTCTATCAAGGACCGATTCCCAAGGTATCTGTAAATTGACTTTCACCAGGATCGGTACACATGGGCGTCGTCTGCAGGACACTGCTTCGATGCTCAGTCTGAGAGCACCTTCGGGAGTCGATCCTTAAAAGAAGCTGTGGCAGATATGTAGATAGATATATCCCTATCGAAATACCCCGTCCTGGCCCCAAATGGATTTCGAAGGTTGAGTTTCAACAGCTGGACCGCAGCACTCTTTCACCCAACAGACGCAGTCCGTTACCTTCTTTGTTGCGCGTAAAAGAACGCTGGTTGTTGTTGTTGATGTTGTCGTTATCGTCCTATTTATTATGGCGACGGTCCCCCCACATCTCGTGGTGAGACGCGTACCTACTATTATACATGTGTTTCAGTGTGTGTCGAGTGCTACACTTGTCTCCGTATGTTTTCCTACAAACTACAACCGTCCAGGGTCACACAGGAGGGGGTAAAACAGATGTTACACGTTAGAAGTTGTCTGTCGGGTAACCAGAATTGTTCGATTTTTGGATTCTCACGGAAGCTGCGCACACTTTCCCGGCGTATGAACTCCCAGATGGGTTAGCTATGACGCCTTTTCGAGTTCGGCGATCGAGTCGTCTTTCTCGTCTGGCGGTATGAGCGCGGTGGTGAGCTCTGCGCAAGGAGGGAGGGCGGGAGCCGGGGCGACGTACACTATCCACTTCTCCAGCATGCAGCAGGTGGGTGTGATTGGAGAGGGCGGGGGAGTGATTGTCCCCGGGGTGTCCTTGCAAGTCTGTTGCCAGAGTCTGTGTTCCAACGACCCAAAGATTCAACACTACTGCTGCTACAACATGACTGTTGGCTTGTGTGCGTGGTTCAGGCGAGCACAGGCGCGACGACCTGGTTGATTTTTGTGTGCAAGTACACAAGGGCTGTTGTGCATTGTTCGCACTCTGCCGTAGATATGAAGCGTGCGGGTCGATAGTTCACCCGATGCCCCCGTTCAATTGCACAATTTCAGGAGACATGCACGGTCAGGACTCGTCCAACGCGTTAGCCTAATAGAAAAAAATGTGTAAGGCATTGTTCCTTTCCACATCGCACCCCTTCTAGAGAGACGTCACTCTCAGCCCACTCCGGGTTCTATAGTTAACGCCCGCATTTTCCGAGCTTGGTAGTCAAGAAAGTGAGCCTCGATAACTCGACAATCTAAGAACTTGAGCACCATTTGTGAGCTCGCTTTTGAGCCCCTACTCATGTACGGACCATTCATAGCATAATCCCAGGAACTAAGAATTCCAGCCTCCCCCAACACTAGAGGTTCTGAAGTACGGGCACGTACTGAACCACCCTAAGTTTCCTTTGTTTGCCTGGCGCCCGTCCCTCCCGATGATTGCATGCCGTTTTCGTCTATTTTGAAGTACAATTTAGTGTGCTTGGTTCCAAGATCTAATCTGTCTGTTTGGCACCCGGCGGTTTGACATTTCAGGTGAACAACGCTTCGAGCTTCGTGAGGAACGTCAGGAGAAACGTCGGTGAGATATTCCAGTAAATGGTAATATTCACGGGTCGGGGGTAATTAGCTGGGCATGGTAAATGCGCGCATTTGCCCGCCGTCGGGATGATGCGGGGTGAAACTGCCCAGAGACTCGCCGCCGCCGGGCACAGGAAACGAGGAGCAACCTGCCCCCCCCAAAACTCCCTAAATCCTCTGGCGCGCGTTCGCACACGCTTTGCCGAGGACGACAAACTTATGAACGAATCACATAGACACACAGAGATATACCCCTTTTGCTGCCCTCCGTTCTTTGCATTAGTGGCTTCCTAGGCGAGGGCACACGCGTGATGTCTTTCTCTGTGAAAGGATTTGTAAATTGGCGTCAGCGCATCGATCATTAACCAAATTTTGCCCCCCTTCCAGGGACCTTGATTTTCCTCGCTGGTGCTGACGTCTTTTCATTGGCGAGCCGGTTAGCGCTGTCGATTCTAAAAACACACACACACACACACACACACACACACACACACACACACACATCTCGGGGTCCCAGTTAATGGCAATTATAAGTTTTTTTTTGTGTTTTCAACCGCACTAAGACTGACGTCTTTTCACTGGTCAGCCGGTTGGCGCGGTCGATGCTAATAATAAAAACATACACGCACACACATCTCGGGGTCCCAGTTAATGGCAATTATAAGTTTTTTTTGTGTTTTCAACCGCACTAAGACTGATGTCTTTTCACTGGTCAGCCGGTTGGCGCGGTCGATGCCAATAATAAAAAAACACACACACACACATCACTCGTGTCGCATGCACCTGTTGCAGTCGGCGTGCCATCTCACGAGACGTGGGAGTGGAAGAACAACGGTTCGAGGTGGGAGGCCGTCCCCGTCCCCATCTGTCTACAGATATCGGCGAGCCGGGACTTGCGGGGGGAGACGTCGACGACTGCCCACATCAACAGTCTCGGTGAGTGTGTGGTGATACAGCTGGAGGATAACGCGATCATCGGGCGCTGCCTTTTGCACCCGTTGTTGCTTTACAGTACTGCTGTATCTTGCCGCCACCAACGGCCATGATTCAGTTGTTGCTGTGGTGGTGGATGATTGCGACCGATCCTTGTTCACCGCCGCAGGAGTTGTCTGTAGACTCTCAACGGTGATGAACTGCATGTGTTGTTCTTCTCAGGTCAGTCCGTCTGGACATGTGCGGTCGCTCACAGGCTTTAGGGCAGGCCCCGCATGGCTAGAAGTTTGAAGAGCAGGAACCGGCGCTTACCACACGCGTGTCGTCTTGTTGCTTTTGTGCTCTCATTTTTGATCTCGTTGGGCGGACTGTTGTGCATCAAGTCTATGTATTTTCTGTGCGCTGATCGCAGCAGCCTTCCAATTCAAAGAATCGTGCTATGCATACGTGCTGCTGTATCGACTGTCGACGTCCGCCACGTTCTTGTCTTCCTTCCGATCTAGGGTTACACAGAACATTTTTACTACAACGTGGCTGCTGTTGTGGTTATTTTTCTGGTTGTGGCAGATGTTATGGTCCCAAGAGTTTATGTGAAGGCCCCCATGGAAAATCAACCATCTGTGCGTCTGACAAAGATGGATTTTATGATTTTTTTCACCTCACGCCCCCTCGCCACGCGTCCTCTCTCACGTCTTCTTCCTCCCTGCTACTGCCGCTGCTGGGACTACCACCGCTATCTGCACACACCCTGTCGGGCTGTGACTTGACCTCAGCGCACGAGTTCGACTTTACGCAGATGACGGTGACCCGCCTAGCGGTCGGGGTTGTGGTACAGCTCCGTCTCAAAGGTAGGCGAAATTCACCTGACTGTTGGTCGTCTCCGCATGTTTTTATCGCGAATTCATAGTAATGGAAAAGGCGCGCGTGTTCATGTTGGATGCATGCCATGATTGGTGTAAACAGCTCGGTTCAATGCCGGAGATTTGTAGCTGTCCGTGTTTCGTTGTTCTATATTCGTCGGAGGTAACGGTACACGGAACGTGGAATCTGTTCTTGCCACTTGGACGAACGCCCCCGGGGATGGTGAACTATCCTCCCCAGAGCGCAACATACGCTGCCCGCGACTAGACCCACTTGAAATAATCAAAACTGTGCGTCGCCTACGGTGGGTCACTTCTGTATCTATACTGTACCCACAGAGGGGCATCCACGGCCCCCGTTGCGCAATTTTTCTGTTCTTGCATCTCGCATCTGCAGCTACCTCTATTTTTGACCGCCTGTCACGTGTGCGGATACCGCACGGGTTTGTGGTGCCTGCCGCTCCCTCACCTGCATGCTCCCGTTCGTCGAGAATAAACCCGAGTTTTTCACTTGTTTTTGTTTTTATTACGTTTTTATATATTTTTTTCCCTTAGCCAGCCGAGGTGCGGTTGCGGGCGCAGCAGCAGCAGCAGCAGGGGCAGGGGCAGGGGCATCAGCAAGAGGGATGTCCACGAGGTCGGGGGCTTCTGCGTCTCCATCTCCTCAGGTTTCGACGAACGGAGACAGGTCTGCGGAGTACCAACGAATAATTAACGAAGCGACGGACTGCACGGCGACGGCGGCGGCAAACAACGAGACTTGCACCCGTAAGGATAAGGATGCTGAAGTGGTTATTCTCTTTGTATATCTTTCATACAGTAGTGGTCACGCTGTAATGCCGGCTGCCCTGTATAATGCCGGTGAAGTCATCTGACACAGATGGGATACTCAAGTTGTTTCATACTTGATTATTGTCGGTTGCCGGCTATTTTGCCGGCTCACGGGGTTGGCACTCACCGGCACAACGCCAGGATTACTATTGTAAACGCTTTCCAAAACTATGCAGTGCGGCAGTTACATCCCTCGCATGTCCGTTGAACTGTTGCTCGTACCTCTGGATCTCACTTGACTTTTCGTAGTTTGGCGACTGCTGCAGTCTTGGGATGAAGTTATAGCAGGGGTAAGGGTGGCGGCCGGAAAGACATACCAAAGATGTAAGGCCACGTGTTCGACGACCTTGCCACTCTGAAAGATGCGTACTTGTGTTTGAAAGAAGGCCATACGAGGATGAGACGTGTGCTGGTGAGCGCAAAAATCGAGGAATAAATTAACGCACGAGGGTTACGTAGAAGCAAACGAGACGAGGCCATAAAAGAGGTATTTCTGCCACACCAATTTGTTTCGAAGGTGGAGACACAGGAAATGAGGGAAAATAGACCGAGAGAGAGAGAGAGACGAAAACACCAACGCCTTACCCATAGATCTCCTGGTAGGTTATAGGACAGCTCAGGCAGACATACAGGCATGTTTAACCTCGTCTCGTTATTGTTTGGACCTCGTCGGTCCTTTGTCGCCCTCCCCTGATGCCGTCCCACCCTCGTTCGGCGTCCTCTTCGCGCGATTGCGATGCCATCAACAACGGCGACGCCGACAACAACGCCGACGATTATCGACGACAACGAAATGGCGACAACAACGACAACTGCCCACGACAATAATGACGATTTTTTTCGACAACACTTGACAACGCAAAAAAAAACTGCAACATCGACGACCACGACGACGATGATGCCGAAAACAACGGCAACGACGACACATCACCAACGTCAGTGTGCATGGACCCTTTCAGCCCGCAGGAGCCGGCGCTGCTGCTGTCGCAGTGCCAGGGGCACTACATGCACGCGCCGTGCATCATGCAGGTGTTCAAGGCGATGGGGCCTAAATGCCCGACCTGCTCCAAGATGTACGGTCCGCTGCACGGTGAGAGGACGCAAACACCCGCCCTCGGCGATAACACGCACATGTCTCTCTTTTGTGTACGAAATCCGTCTCGAAGGGGGTGCGTGGTCAGGGTCCAATGACTTGTGTCACCAGCATACTGTAAGCCGCCCCCCCTCCTGCTTCATCAATAGGATAGATGGGCTAGGGAACCAGTTTTGAGCCACCTTTGGCAGCGTAGGAAGGAACGAATGGCCATCGGTAGTCGGTCCTGTCGGAACAATGCTCCGTCCTCTTGAGGACGCGTGGTCTAACAACTGAGACACGCAAAACAGAAGACTACGCCCGCCTCCCTGCTAAATCCACGAGCGATTCCACCACTGTAGGGCGGGTAGCAGGGCCACTAGAACGCTCCGGGCCTGACGCAGATACACTTTCATTTGCCCCGTTGTCCTGAAATTTCCGTTCTAGGACGTTTTTTGTTCGCCTTTCCCCGTGACGTCTATTCCGCCCCCCGCCCCAACCCCCACTCTCGTGTTTTCTGTGTTGAAACCTTAACCTGTGGGCTGCTATTAAATTGGGGCTTCCGCCTCGCAGGTGACCAGCCTGACGGGACAATGACCGTGCGAACCCACCGTCGCGGAGCAATACCCCTTTCGGGCTACGAGTCGGACGGTACGATTCTCATCCAGTACAGCTTCCCCTCCGGCACGCAGAGCTCGAAACATCCCAACCCGGGGAGCGCGTACCACGGCACCTCGCGAACGGCCTACCTGCCGGTGGGTGTTGGCGTGAACTATGATTGTTTTTGTCGTCGTCGTCGTTGTCGTTGTTGATGATGATGTTTCTTGTTCTGTTGTTTTTAGTGTTTCGCCAATCTCGAATGATGAAAATCTTCGAGAGGACCACCCGAGGTAGTGTTCGGTGTTTGTTTTTTATGGGGGGTATTCTCAAGAACAGAAGGTCTGACGTAAGCCTCATGATCCTCACGATCTACCCTTCCTGTTCGTGAGCCACAACCGCGCTCATGTGCACGATAGTCTCCCCAGGCAGACGCGTTAAATAGTCGGCGGCGCGTGCAAGGTTACGGATTTGTGTTTGCGTCCTTGCTTGAGAGTCAGCCATCGGTACACCTAGAATAGTTCGGCTTCCAGCAGGTTCAATCCGACTTTTAGCTATGCATACGCTAAATTCGGGATCTTTTTGCATGACAATCACTTTGTTTTCTCCCTTTGTGTTCAACCACTTTTTTGTTTTGTTTCTGTCAACCTGTTCTCCACCGATGGTGGTGGTACTTCAGGACAATGCGGCGGGCAGGGAGGTACTGGCACTGCTGAGGAAGTCGTTCGAACAGAGGATGACTTTCACCGTCGGGACGTCCATTACCACAGGTGATGCATCATTGCGGGCGTTTCGGTGTTTTTTTTTTCTGGCTAAGAGGTCCCTGGTCTTGGTCCTTCATATCGCTTTGCTCATGTAGCTCCGCCCTATGTACAGTACTACGGCGAACCCCGTGATTTGGGAAGATGCAGAATGGCCACGTTAGGCTCGAATGTAGGAGTTGGTCGATGGCCAGGCGCGCGTGAAATATTGTGTTGGTCTGGGCATGGCGCTTGATGACCTTCGGCAAAGTTGATGATTGTGTTGGGGATAGCAGGCAGGACACTGGTGGGCTTGGTCCGCGCGACAATCGCTTTGGTCGCTAGGGCAAGCAATGAGACTGGGCGATTTGTATTTTGGCTGAGTATTTTGGGGTAGTCTTTGTGGGCCTCAGGCTGCGTGAGCTGCACGAAGTTTGCTGGCCTTCCGTTATGACTCTGAACGATGCGCAGGGAATCGCAAGAGAGGTTAACTCGTCGTCAGGCGTTAACTCGTGGCCAGACGCAAGGCAACACTTTCTCCAATGAACAGTGCACACGTTGAGGAAAAAGATTGTAGGGTCCAACTCAAGACGTTTAATGTTCAGCGATGTTGGACGTAAATTGCATTTTGAGCGAACCTTGCCGCGAGCACCCCAACGCTCCTCCCTAGCAGCGGCCCCGCATTTGGTACATTCTTGACCTCTCCATACCCCTCGAAACCTGGACCGAGACCGAAAACCGCGTTTCTAGTCCTATCCCTTACCGTGATGTCATTCCTCGTTATCATCGAACCGTGACCGTTGCAGGCCGTTCTAACTGTGTCATCTGGAACGGCGTACACCACAAGACAAACACCACTGGAGGTGAGGTGTATCTAGTAGTAGGTCCCGCCACGTGTTGACTGTGTGATGCGATAGGAGCAGCTTGTGTTGCTCGCTGCTGCCGTCTTTGTTGTTGCTGCTCTTGCTACCGAAGACGCTTGTAGATGTCACGTTTGTCCAAGGCACGGCAAGTTGACCAACTCTCTGTGCGTATCCCGCTGTTCCTGCTGTTCGTGCTGTTCCTGCCGTTCCTGCTGTTTCTGCTGTTTTCCACGATGGTTGCGATGGTCTTCCAGGAAGCTCTTCGTTCGGCTACCCTGATCCTGGCTACTTCGGACGGTATGGATTCGTTCTGTGTTGAATGGAACCCTCCTATGCTTACGTTCTGGCACCCCCCCCCCCCCC